TTTTTTTTTTTTTTTTTTTGTCTCCACCACTTCCAAGTGTCCCACCAACTCCCTAAAACTAGAAAAAATAGACTTTTCCCTCACCACTCCCCCATTTTTCTCTGAATTATACAAAATGTCATTAAAACACCATTTCTCCCCCTTCCCCCGAAAAAAAATAAATTATAAAACCCAAAGATTTCCCCATCTCAAGCTATACCTAAGTAGGGTACCCCCATTGAAAAAAAATTTCTGTAGGGTTATTGCTGGCATAAACATACACAATCCCTTGTTTCACCCTGCAACCTTTCCACATTTCCAGAAAAATTGAACTTCAATACAAAAGACGAGATAATTCATATCCAAAATGAAAATGTTACTATACTAACAGAGTAACATCCTTCCTCTAGTACCTACAGGGTTGACATAAAGCCACACATTTTCCATTTTGAGTTTTTCACAAACAGCTTGAACGAATTTTTGTTTTTTCTTAGTCTATGATAAGAAGGAAAAATCATGAAGGTGAAACCTGAGGGCTCCTCTAAGTTAAGAAGTTGTAGAGGGTTCTTCTAAACTTCTACAATTCCACACGCATGCTATCATTTAATCATTGAGATTAATTAGGGATAATGGTTTTCTCTACCTCGGGGAAGTTAATATTTTCAGAAAGTTTCAATTTCTTACCCTCAGACCTAACAGTGTCTATTTCTAACCCCTCACCTTGAGTTTGTACATTTCATTTTGTACTTGACCCAATATCTGGTTCTCCCACCACTGTCTTACAGTTGGCATGGAAATTAGATATCAAAGTAATCCGGGTAAGGGATATTGGTTTGTGGTGAAGCATATACTCAAGTACTTGAGAAAAACCAAGGAGCATATATTAGTTTACCATGCAGACAACTAGTTATCGATGGGTTACACTGATTTCAACTTCCAGTCAGACCAGGACGAAAGTAAATCTATCTCGGGTTATGTGTTTACACTGAGAGGTAAAGTCATTTCATGGAAGAGTGCAAAGCAGAAATGTGTGGCAGACTCCACCATAGAAGTTGAGTACGTCATTGCTTGTAAGGTGGCAAACGAGACAATGTGGCTCAGAAATGTTTTGGTGGACTTAGAGGTAATTTTGAGTTTGTCATAGACTGTCACAATTTGTTGTGATAATAGTGGTGCAGTAGCAAACTCAAGGGAATCACGAGCCCACAAGGCTAGTACAGACATAGAGTAAAAACTACATAATACAAGAAATCGTAGAAAGAGGAGGCGTCGAGGTTGCCAAGATTGCATCGGAGGACAAACCTAGCTCATCAGTCCACGAAGAGTCTGCTAAGGAAGGTCTTCGCCAGACACATGGAAGTAATGAGAGTCAGATGTATGATGCCAAGATAGAGATGATTCTTTAAAGATAGCTCTTTTAGAATAAAGATTGAAAGATGTATACTAATAGAAGCAAAATCTTTGAGTACAAGTGGGAGATTGTTAGTGTATATACTCAGCTTGGCTTTAGACGTTCTTTACACTATATTTGTTGAATGAGAATTCACGTTTGATTAAATAAGTTCTATATTCTGTTAATTTACACTTGAATGAATGGTTCATCACGGATGGACAAAGGATCATTTATTAGTAACTTGTGAACATAAAGAGTTGGTTCGCAACCTAGTTGGAAACTAAACAAGCCATCAGAATGGTTGTAGTGACATCGGTACAATTGATATTGACTGATTACTTGCACTAGTACAAATGAGTATTGAATGGATCCCATAGAAGAGCACTTCATTTTATATTGATTATCGTAAACGAACTAGGTCTCGGCTAATTAGTGCATTTTCTTAACCCGTAAGATATAAACAGACACATGTATGTAGTAGTTACTACGTTAATTCATCAAGGTACGATTCATTCTGGATCAATAAACTGGTTGAGTTGGGTAGTCATGCTGCATGCATGATGTGCTATTAAAATATTTACGGTCTCCATGTACCTCAGTTTGATTATTTCTCCTAAGCGAGTTCAAAAGGATTATAATGTTAAACCCTGCAGGTGGATTAAGTTCGAACGTAATCATAATGAATTGAGTGGTGCTAGCTTCGACACAAGAGATCATTTAATTTCATTGTGCATTGTCAAATTGATTGATGAGCATTATATCTTAAACATGGAGAGGTAATTAAGGTAATTATGAATCGGAAATCAAATTATAATTTGAGAATTAAATTTAGAGTTTCAATAATACTACTATAGTGGAATGACTGTATTACTCATATATAAGCGGAGTGGGGCTTGACCCACAGTTGGACCTATATACGAAAAGCCCAATTTAATGCCTTCTTAGAGCCTCTATTGTAGCCTATAAATACACCCCTCTCTTTCTGTTTGGAAGACATTCATACACATAAGACTCCTAGTACTTTAAAAGTTCTAGATTCTCCTTCTCACCAAGGGAGTTATAAAGGTGTTAAGAATACAATATAACATCTCTTGGCAGTTGAGCACCCGACCACCGTCGATCACCATGCGCACGCCCACGACTGGGACAACCACAAGACCCGCGTGAGCCGACCTCGTCCGACCGTAGGATCCTCCTAGTGACTCCGACCCCCCGACCAGATCCTCATAGTGACTCTGACCCCCCGGCGAGTGGATTCAACCGATCTCCATCCGCAAAAATCTACAGCGTCTTAGAATCGGCAAATTTTAAGCCGTAAGTTTTCTATATTAAAATTTAGATTCCGTGCGCTTATTTTTAGATAAATTTGTGACTTGCACAATACATCGATCCCCATATATCCCAATAGTACTCAAGTGTTTCTTTTTTAAACGATGGGTGCAATTTCCCAAGAGTTTCGGACGCACACACCATTAATGATTGTCAGACCTATTTGTGGACTTTTCCCCACACGTG